CATCATCATCAGTTGTCTGCTGAATGGATGCCGCAAAAACGACTACCTGACTACCGAGTAGTCGTTTTTGTGGCTTCCATTCAGCAGACAACTGATGATGATGGCTAAGCAATCGAAAGCTGCTCTTGAAATAAATACTACTGTTGGCAATAACAACGTTTATAATTATTTCACGGAAATCTACCGATCAGAGCAGCCGGTTGCTATAATTCTCCTTCAGATAGCGGCTGAATTCGACCCAGCTTTTAAGGTGCTGTCGGAAATAATCCTGACACCGTCGGGGGGTGGAACCCGTAGAACTTCTCTGCGAGAAGTGTTGCAGTGACATCAATTGACCCACCTAGGCCGTTCGGTAGCTTACAACAAGTTGTAGCTAGGGGGCCGTCCCGCTGGGGAGAATGTGAACTGCTGATGTTTTGTGAACGTTTCTGAAATGCCCTATTTTGAGCTCATTTGCACCGGACAAGACGCATTATATTGTCGATCGTTCTCGCTCACATGCTGTTGCAAAGTCGTGGAGCAAGCGCGCTTCTTTTCTGGTCGAAAAATCTGTACGAAAGATTCTGTCAAGTCGTGGCGATACAGTTTTTTCTCAGCTGTTTACAGCAGTATCTGCGGAGTGTGCTCTGTGTGCAGCTTGCTAGTAGCTTTAAATGAGTTTCGTCAGTGAATAGTAACGTGTGCTCTGTTACAAAGTAGACCGTAAAAAATAATTTACCAAACAGAAAGCTTGATATTTGTAGTGAATAATCATTGTTTCTAAAACATCTAAATCCTTAAAATATGATATTTCCGAGCTCGGGATCTTTCAAATGCACAACCTTGCAGAGGTTAGAAAGAGACCTTGTGAGATCGTATTTTAGTAGTTTTCGTAGTAGAACTCGCTTTACCAGTTTGTACACGTTCAGTTAGCGTTCTCCATTTAAAGAGGAGCAAATAATGCGTTTAAGGTGTTTAACTGAATAGAGGCTTTATATTAAGAAAACGTGATTATATAGGAAAATGAATTTTACCTCCTGGTGTATAGATTATGTATATATAGGCTATTTTATAAATTATTCCTGTAATGTTTGTGGTAACTGTGCTCCAATGATCAAGCCGGTCACGAAGAGGTCATCCCAATAACAAACCTCCATAATGGGCATCGGTATCGTTCATTTTCGATAATGCCAGTACCGGAACGTTTCTTACGCCACGAACACAAATTAAAACGTTCATGTAAACTTAAGCTTCCGCATCTATAGTCCATATCGTCTATGCTGCCCGGGTGACGCCGTGTCGCAGGTTGAGAGCTCGACGTTTCGTCTGTCATGTTGCATTGTGGTCCTTGCCCTGAGTAATCCCTGAGTTCGCATGATAGAGGAAACGTTGCCCTCTCACCCAGGCAGCAAAGAAGATGTAAACAGTTATGCCTTACGAGGATTTCTAACCCACTACTATAGTTGCCATGTACTGAATCACCTGCATCAAGCCCCTACCCAAGCAACCGATTCACTTCATACGTATTATTTGTAAACGTGTTACTGTTATATAACGTAACAATTTGAAAAAAGTAAGAAATAAAACTGACCTTTTTTGCATACTCGCATTTTATTGTATGTTGAAGCACTCAATATTAATGTTTTGACACCATTTATTTCAATAGCAGCAACGCAAACGTTACATTAGTAATAAATTTATCAAAGTATTCAGTCTTAAACAACTATCTCAAAATTAACTCACCCCCCATAAAATGCTGTAAACCTAATATTAACACTATCCACTAGTTAATGCAAAGGTTTAGTTCACTTTCATGTAATATTTAAGTGGGGAAATAATTGTATCAACAAACAACAATATTTTTTTCATATTTTATAAATTTTTCGCATATTAGAATGGAAATAGGACTGTAATAATATCGTAGAAGAGTAATATCAATTTTTAGAGTAATTTACATTGAAAAATTGAAAGCATTTTTGGGAAAAATGCCATTTGTATATTTTTGAAAATTGTAAATTCTGAGCTTACTTTCACAGATTTTTTTGAGTTTTCGAGGAACTTTATAAGAACTCATTTCAAGCACTGTTCTCAGAAATACAATGATGTATAAAAAGGTATAAGTGCATAATATAAACATTAACGACCTCATTTCGATGCTAGAACACCCATTGTACTAAATGTAGAGACTCTTCCAGTTTTTTTCCAAAAATTTTTTTTCTGAATATAAATATGTAGTTTAACAATAGAGAAGAAAAGAAAACACAGAGCAGGTTTTACAATTTGTTTGAAGTTTCAGAAAATCTAATATTAGTATAGGTCTAACAAGTAAAAACAAATAAAGAATGTCATCCTGATGGGCATTCCGAATCTTCTTCGATGCCCTTCATAATTCTGAAGAATCCAACTTTGCATTATAAAGCACAAGAATAGTAGTACGCTACGCTGGCAGAGAAAGAGAGTACCTACGAAACATGGAGTAATATTATTACATTTACAATTTTAAAACTAAAGAAAGCGGGAGTAGTGTTTGTAGTTTGATAGTGAATTGCAAAAAAAAATATTTTTGAAGTGTGAATTGTAAATTGTCTAAAGAACGGGAGGTTGTGGACAAACAAAACAACCAATAACACAAATCTTTCATACAAAGGTTATTTCCAGGAGCAAAGTACAAAAACTCGTAATCATAACGTAAAAATCAAGGATGAAAATTCTGAGTTCCAAAAGATGTTCATTAACAAACTACTATCAACCTCTATTAATCTAATTATTCCAATTACCATTAACCTAATTATTCAAACAAACAAAGGTATACCTAGAGACGAAATGTTATAGAAACTCCGCGAGAATAAACTATTCACTCGGCGTGCGTTTACTAGCTATCACAATCGGTGTCGTGAAGATCAATATGCGAGTACTACATTACCGCGACGGAATACTTGCCGGCCGCGGTGATACTGGTGGCGATGTGGGGGTGGGAGAAGGGGAAGGGAAGGGAATGGGAGAAGGAGGGGCGAGCCCTGGTTCTCACTCAGCCGTGATGATCACGCTGGTTCCGCCTTTACTGCGTCGCCTGTCAAGGCCCATTCACAATGCAAACGTTAACATAAGCGTACATCAGAGACATAAACATTAGCATTAGTGATAGATTCAAGTACTCACAATGTCTAACATAAACGCATTCAAAATAAGAGTTTCTATTGGCTGTGGGACATTCTGGTTTACTATTGTTTGGATGTGAGAATCGATTTCAAGGTATAGACTGGGTCCATGGCCTATATGGCGTTGGTTCTTCTATCGACTTCGCGCCAATTTCGATTCCCGATTTTGAGTTATCGTTCTGTGATTGGTTCATTTCTTATTCTTAAGCTTGGAAGCTTCCATATTGACGTCTTACGTGTTATGCTTATGCGAACGCATTGTGAATGAGTCCGCTCATGGACGTAATCCTAACATTTATGCTAACGCCATGCATATGTTGGTGTTGGCATCGTGAGTGGGCCTTGAGCCCATCACGCCGCCCCGTGGTTGGCGGGCGAGCGCCGTGGCGTTGGGGCGGCCGGTTCAACTGAGCGTGTGCGCCGCGACAGAGAGAAAAAAGTGTTGAAATAATGCGGTAGAGAGCTCTAAGCCTACGAATGCGAGTAGCGCTGATTGTCGGCCAACGGCGGCGTCCTTGCGGGGGGGGGGGGGGGCGACCAACTACGGGCCTCAGCGAACGCTCGTATAGATCGGAGAGACGACACACGATCAATGGTAAAATCGCGTCCATAGGTGCATTTGGTAGCTTCAGTATGAGGTCTGCATGTCGGTGAGCTAGTGAAAAGTTGGATCCACTTGGAAGCAGACATGTTTAAATAATATAAAAGGTTGTGGTTGTTGACATAAAACCAAAATCGCGTAGATACGCAAGTGCAGCATGGTGCGCACCAGGTCAGTGGAAACGAAAATGTGTGTCTAAGTTATCGACTCCACTAAAGTATTGATTCAACATAAAAGTTTCAAAATTTGTTTTCACACGTGGGTGCAAATAAACAATTCTACTTTGCCGTGTTAACGTATGGGCCCGAAGGACAAAATCCAAACCCCCACCCCCACCCTGTGATCAAGGGTCCCCGATTTTATTAAAAAAAGTATTTAATTCTAAATTTTTCAAAAAAGAAAGTAATAAATGTGATGTACGATTAAACTATACCTAAAAATTGACGTATCAGAGTGATGTGTCACGCATCATTAGATGACATTTATGATACGAAATGTTGCTGGTTAATGCGAGACTGTCACTCAGTGATGAGTTGTTTTGCTTTTTTAACAAAACTATTCATTATTTAATTTGTAGTCTTTTTCAGTGTAACTATAAATCTGTTATTCTATCTTACTTATAGTACAATATTCTATCTCACTATATGTTTAAATTTTGTGTTAATAATAAATCCAAACATTAGGAAATACTTTCAAAATATTTTAAAAAAATATAAAATACAATGTAAATTGATAAGATTTTTTTTATATTTCAGCATCGAAATTGGAGGAGGAAGATCGGTGAAAGTGAGAATAAGGGGGCCCAAATTAACCTAGGTCCAAGGGCCGCCAATGCTGTTAAAATGGCCCTGACATTCTATAAATCACAAGAGAGATTAAATTTACTACAATCAATTCTATTCCAGTAACAGTGCCTTGGAAATAAAAAGTGTCTTCATCAAGCATTCATTTTCGATAAACTAGCACACTCTAAGCCAGAATAACTTGCGGCTAATTTATAAATTAAATTTGTCAAGGATTGTCTAATGGTGTGTATGTGTAATATTGTATGTTGGGCTGTCTGCCACATGTGTTTTGAACATGCATGTGTTGACTACGTGTGGAGGTCGATTCAAAACGGTGTTACTAGCACCACGGACATTTGAAAAAGTCAATAATCGTGCCGCTCTTTCACCGCAAAACCGAGCTTGAAACGGAAAGGAAGTTTTTCTTCCTGTTCCCTTTCCTTTGTTTTTTCCTTCCCAGAATTTCCGGAATTGTGACGCAAAGAGATTTCCATTTCTATGCACAGTTTGCCATAATGTCATTTGTCTGAGTATGTTTTATGTCAAGACACCGTGCTCAATGAAATTTACGTAAAAATGACTCCACACACTCTCACGTTGCGGTGGATATTCTGTAGATGTAGGAATGGAACTTGGAAAAAAGTGTCAGATAGGTGATCATGTACGACATTACGCAGAAAACACCTCCTGTTATTTAAATATTATATGTAAACGATGTGTTCGTGTCCGTGAAAGTGCAATTTCAAAAATCCAGTGTTCAAGAAAATTTTAAATACGATACATCATTGGTGAAGGTGCTACAATCTGGAAGTAGTTGTTGAGAATTTAGTACTCGTTGCGATACATTATAGATGTCTTTAAGAAAGGTGTTACGCCAGGTATGATATAATTTATTTTCCTCTGACTTTAGATTTAATTTCATTTTGTGAATATCCAACAACAGAAATATGGAACTCAGAACAATTTAGTACCTTTTACAGAATGTGATATCTGCTCGAAGTTTCACAATTTATTGTTAGATGTGTCGTATTCTGAACATAAAAATGGAATATCTCTGATTTAACAATACTAGACGTGCAAAGCACAACCACAACAGAGTGTAAATTAATCCAACAATACGCCATCTACCTGTGAATCCAGGACCTGGAGTCGACGAACACGTTCTTCATTCCTTGTTGTATCGATATTCATATTCGAGGTAGAATATGTTTGCGATCATAAAACGTAAGATTTATCCGTTCAGTGATTAGCCACCAAAATAATATAATTTACTAATTCGTGATACTTCTTCTTATATTTTGTTATAGGTATTACTAAGTTAAAAATGAGTATTTTTATAGAATAACAATTGTAATGTAGATTATTGTTCAAACGCCATGCATTCTGAGTTTTCATTGTCTTCAATAAATAAAAAAAGAATTGGATTCTAGAACAAAAGTAACTTACGATTTGCATCTTTATTATTGCTTAGTCTTTAATTTCATTTAATCAAAATTTAGGAAGTTAAAGATGGAACCGTTTTTGAGTTAAATATGACACAAATAATTTAAATTAATATATTTCAGAAATGAAGTAAAATCTATATTATATTTTCTTACATTTTCAATCCTAAACTATTGTTGTTTTTACGATACACTACTTGTATTATCGGGAAGGTCGTTTTTATCACAAAAATAATTTTAAATTTTAATATTTGTTAAATACATTTTCTGTTCTGGGGTTAACATACAAATTGTAATTGTTCAGTGCAGATATCATAAAATATTAAAATTATTTTTTTTTATTTTAAGTCGATCAACATCTGTGGATATTTGTGACTACTTATAAAGACTTTACATAACATTTCCATCTGTTATAAAACAGCGGTAACAACAAACTAGTCCAAAACATTATACATACTTTGTTAAATACAAAGTTGCAATTCTACAGTTTTTAAATACATTTAGTAGGGTTATATTTCATTTAGTATATTAATTGATTTACAGAATTTTAGTACTTTTATTGATAATTATCAATGTTAGAATTACTTCTTGCTCTTGCTCATATATATTGTGCTTGCGTCTGTTGTGCTGCAATAGAGTATATTGGTATAACAAATGATGAATGTTGAGACAGATATTGCAGGGCACACAGATCTAATCAAATTTTCTCTGTTACTCTTCAACAGAAAACAGAAAAACACTGTCAATTTTTAACAAAAAGGAGTTGATTCTACAATTCACATTTGAACAAGTTGAGAACATTAAACTACTGCTTTTCCATTTTCTTCTCTGAATGAAAACGAATATTATTTGTTTATTGGAAAAATTACAACCAGTTGTTTTGCTTAATAGTGTACGAGATTTTTACATTTTATTGCAATAAAGTTACTATTCAATACATTGTACGCAAAATATATATTGTTCTGAATGACACATATTGCGCATTTTCAAGGTATTTTTTGTCATATTTCTTGAGAAAATACTACATCTTTGCCGCTCTTCCTCTCAGATTGGATATCCAATTTTTTCCAAATTGCTCATGTAAATCTGAATATCAAGAATCCAAATAGTCCATAACCTCAACATTAATCTCTGAACTATTCATGGTAAATTTTCTGTCAGAATAAAAGTGACTGAATTCAAAATATTTTTACAACTAATATTGTGAAGTCTTGTAACCACTCTCGATTTCGGACAACACATGCAAAATCTCAGCAGCCATTACACGCTAACTGAATACGCGTTAGTTCATTAGATAATACATAAAACATAAGAAACGAGAGAACCGCAGTTACGGAATAGCTTATAAAATACAAGTGCTGGGATAAAAAATGGCCCCACATCAGACGTCCAGGATTAAATAAAAAATATCTAAACAAAATAATTTGTAACTCGTTATATTTAACTGTCAGTTAAAATGTTATGCGTATTGATTACTTAATAGCTTTGCAGATCAATATTTGGAGATCAATAGTAGTTTCTTCCTAAAGAATGTGTATTATGCTGAGTATCAACTTTTCTTGACCGGTACCTTGGTGAAATTCGGGTTTTGTGTATGTATGTGTGTGTGTGGGGGGGGGGGGTAATCTTTACAAAAGTCGCCACTTGAGTTTATGAAGCAATGCCAACTTTTGGTGAACCAATGTCATATCTTCGCAATTTTCTTTGTAATTTGCCTACAAACTTTTTCAGGAGTTCGAGATATCTCCTATGAAGGATCTGGACCTGTCTCAGCCATTTCTTTGGTTTTTTTGAGAAAAAACACAAACAGGACTTCTCGTCTTCAACAGCAAATAGCTTATATTTCGCACCAATGAAGATGTTTGGAATGTTGTCACCAGTGCGAGCTTTTACGTCAACGTGTTTATTGTAACAAGGGGGGGAGGAGGTATGCCATTGATCAAGTGCCGTTTTGCCACGCACAAGAGGCTTCATCGTCATGGCATCATTAACCTCAGCGAAAATGAACGCCCAAAACTTGAAGGCAAGAATGGATTCTAGTCGTATTGCGGCTGTTCTTCAGAAAAATAAGTGGGTGAGTTACAAAGTATATTCGTTGAAATAATTATCACCATCAACACAACCATTTATGCATTATGCATGGTACTGGAGTAGGCTCAGCCATCTTGGGTGCTTTTCTCTCCTCAATATTTGAGTTCTATTAGGCTACCAGAAATAACAAAATTGGGTTGTGATATCAGCTTTTTTTAGAACTGTTTTTTTTGAACTTCCTTGTAGCAATGTATTGTTTGTATCGTTTTTATTGCTTGTATCAAGGTACTAGCAGAATACCTGGCGTTGCCAGACTATTTATTATCCAAATGTTTTTTAAAAACGGATCAATTATAGCATAACTTTAAAAAAATATTATTTTATTAATGAATTGGTTTACATTTTAATAAAATATGCAATATTATTTTCTTTCACCTAATTATTCAGTTCACTCTTATCAAAGCCTGCCCGGTATGTTAAACTCTTGTCCAAAAACCATATTTGTAATTTTTTATATTTTTGTATCATTTGAAAATTAACACCAGTTCGTAGTTAAAATTTTTTAAAAAATGTAGTAATTTTTATAGACATCAAATACATGAATTTTTGTACTATTTTATTCTTACTTATATTAAATGTATTATTCAAATAATTACAAATGCCATGCAAGAGAAAGTTATGTAAATCATAATTTCATTTTCATTTGAATAGGTGAAAGCAAAGAAACACAAAGTGGAATATTAACAAAAAAGTATGAAATGACATTACATACTATCAAGACATCATAATGATTCAAATTCTTAGTAAAATTGTTACTAAATACAAAATAAAATTCAAAATATAAAACAAAAATGAATATTTGCTAAGATTTACATTTTAAACCAGTTTCTAAACACTTCATATGTAAAAACTGGGAGACAATCTTACTCTATTGATTTTTGGCCAAGAACTCTAGACCACCAATCCTGACATTAATTAATTCACGTTAGAAGAACTATATTAAAAAAAATATACCTTGTAGTTGGAAATGAAAATATCAGGAATGACAAATAACACAGTTTTCAAGAGGTAGCAAGAAAATGTTCTTAATTAACATTGTATCTTGCCAAAATTGTATTCTCTATGTTGTAACTAACTTGATCATAAAGGTAATTTAACCATGATCATAAAGGTAAATTAAAATATCTATGCTTAATGTAATTACAGGTTTTTATATTTATTTTAAAAACGACAGACATATGTTAAAGATCCATGTACAAGTAACATGTAATCTAAAACTTATTTGTTTATTCACCATTCCATTGAATTATTAGAATAATACTGATCCTACCACATCTAGAATGTGTGAGCACAATAATTTCATAATGTGCTGAATCACTGGCTACAAAACAATTACTACATTATTTAATCGGATGTGCGATATACTTGAAATGCTAATAATAAAAAGGACTCCCAGAATTTTTTTGCCTTGACATTAATATTTATAGAGAAATTAATTTTCTCCATAGAAAGAAAATGGATGACTTCATAGATTTGTGGCAATTGGTACACAAAACTACAACATAGGCTTATATGATTTTCTTTCACAAAACAGTCATTATATAACGTTCTTTAAAAGAAGAGGGTGTTTATTTAGAAAATCCACCATACCAATACACCATTCTCTACTGTAACATTCTACATTCCTCTACTGTAACATTCTAAGATACAATAATGTAACATTTTAAACTAACCAGCAGCCTACCTTAATTTTTAAATACTTTTTGTCTCAATGTTTTCATTTTCAAAACTGTAAATACATAATATGCATGAATAACAGACAACGCATGTACATTGAATTTCATTTCGGCTTTGTTTCTTTCAAACTTTCCACCAACGTTGAGAAACGAACAAATCAAAGTTCTTAAACGGACATGTACATTCATAGCCTGTTTCGTAGCCCAATACATTTTGTAATTCGAGACATTGATTAGTAAATCTGTACATTCATTAGTAAATCTGAGTCATTGTCTTCCTCTGTTGGCGTCTGGGCTAAATTATTGCACATTGATGCACTTTTAAATCTGTGATGTCTATCTGCCCAAATGTTTTATCCATATTGGTTTGGAACCTTTGGAGTTTATTGCGCTGTAACCCAAAGTACTTGTCTCTTTATATATTAGTATAAAAATATAGATTTTTGTATTGCTTAGCAGATTGACTTCATGTATGTTTTAAGTTTGGTCAATTATTAAATGGAAACCAATCTGCCTGTTATATGCCTGCGCTTCGGTCATTTATTATGTTTTCATTTCAGCCATAAATTTATTATCAATGTTATTATTCAGATTTTTCAATTCTTCTTCCTCACTGAAAATGATGTTCACTACACATATCACTAATAATATCACAATACATTTATCAATAATTATATATTCTTATCCTTCATTATTCATCAACTGCCTCATATTTATTGTGCGATAATACACTCTTGTACACTTTTCACAAAACAACTAATCTCAACATCACTTGGCAAGGTTAAGGAGTCTTTGGATTATTTCTCGGGTATTTCTTACCCGAGGTTCCAGGTTTTCAGGGGTTGGTTTTAAGAATGACCAACTTTTGAGCTTATGTAATAATTTTACGAGAAGGAAGACCTACTTTTTTCAAATAATACTATAGAGTTTTGTTATCAATTATTACAATTGGCAAAATCTCAACAGACTCAAGTTGAGAAGGGAATATATTATGAATTCTTTTCTGTTTCTGCTTTATTGATGTTGTGTGCAGGGTGTGGAATATCAATTATAAATGCTTTCTTTTCCTGTCCGCTATGCAGTAAAATATGTGGTTTATTTGCCGGAATTGTTTTGTCAGTATGTATTGAAAAATCATAACATATTTTTAACTTATTTCTTTCTATGTCAGGTTTGTATTTGTATTCATAATAAGAGATAATTTACTCTTCTGCCATGGTATCTATGTTTGTGCTTTGTGTACAATATTTGAAGTTAGGTTGTGCTGGTGTGATCCTCTATGTTGGCAAGATTTGTGCAATTAGTAATGACGTGATCTACAGTCTCAGGTGTTCGATTAAGTACTCCACATTTGTCTCAATAACATTCAGTTTCCCAACAAATCTTTTGTAGCAATTAATTGAAAAAACTTTGTTCTGAATTGCTTAAATGAATCCCACAGTCTCTCCATTGAGAGCCCATCTCTGAGCCACCGCACTGGTGTCGTAGTCTGCATTTTCAAGAGCACGGAGAAATCTATCATGGAAAGGTTTGGACTTCCAAGCCTGGAGTATTTATTTGACTGATGTCATATCAGGGTTGTATGCATTGTTGATAAGATTTCAAGGAGTATAGCTTGTGTTACATTATAATAGTGCTTTATGTAGAAACGATTGTTCAGATTTCGTTATGAAGTACTTTTTCACACCTGTTACCTGGCTGTTGCATGATGCTTTCAGATCTAAAAGACCACGACCACTTGTTTTCCTGGGAATGTAGAGGTGTTCAATTACTGATTTAGGGTGATGCATTCTGTACATAGAGAACATAGAGCGTACCATTCTGTCTAGGTTATCAAGACCCGTTTGTGACCAAGTGACAATTTCGAAGGAATAAGCCAGCACAGGAAGGCTCTAGGAGTTTATAGCTTTTACTTTATTCTTGGAAATAAGCTCTCAGGAAGTTTGCGAAGGCGCAGCCGAAACATGTTTTCTCACTGCTGTATCCTACTTCTGTAATTAATCATAAGATTTTGGTTGAAACCTAAATTCTTGTGACTGTCATGTAGTTGTAATTGTTCTATTGAACGAAAACTGCTAAATAATTTAGAGAGGATGAGGATATACTTTTTCCTTTTTTAACTTACTGCGTGGCACATTGATCTTATCCTAAAAGTATGTGGATGTCTTTACTGAATTGTGTTGTGAATATCTCCAAGAGTCTATTTAGCTCATGCCTGTCTTTGGCAAATGATTTTTAATCGTCGATGCAGAACAAATGGTTGATGGTGTGAAGGGTTTTCTTTCCATCGAGGACTTTGAAGCCCAGGCCAGATTAAGTATACGTGACAAAGGATTAATTGTTACGCATGGACTTATTACGTCGCCTTGAACAATTTCACGCCGAATAGGTATATCTTTGGATTTCAATATTGGAATATTTTGTTGTCTATTTTGCCAATTGATCATTAGGATTTTAAGAAATAATTTTTGATGGATTTTATAAATTTCTAGAACTCTTTAGAGTTATTCATGAGGAACTCAGTCGTATGCTTTATGACAGTCAACCAAACTGACTGCTAGATTATTTTATTATTTTTTGCTTTCTAAAATTATTATTATTATTATTATTATTATTATTATTATTATTATTATTATTATTATTATTATTATTCCGTTTTGATTCCATGTCCCATTTCGTACCCTTATCCCATTTCGTCCCCTTCTTTCATTTAGTTCTCTTGTTTCATTTGTCCCATTTTGCCCTGTTGTCCCATATGTTCCCTTGACTCATTCATCCCCTTATCTCATTTGTTCCCTTGTCTCATTTATCCCCTTGTCCCTTGTCAAGACGTTAGGATCATGTTTCATTGACTATTTATATCAAAACCACGAGCAACGGAGTACTAGCTATACTGAATTGCACAAGAACAAAAAATTGAACGTATTAACTATATATTCACCAGAAAATCATTTTTGTATGCGTTATTTAGGTTGTGTGTGTGTATATTACTTATGTTGTATCTCATCTGTTTTGTAACCTTAATAAATACTAGTTCAAAGATCACTTGGCTCCATAACGACCGGCGGCCATTAAGATTACGTTTTCATTTCGCTAAGGTGTTGGGTTATGCAGATATATTAACGGGATAGTATTTACGTAGATTACAGTTCAGGAGTAGTTTTTGGACTTCATTTTACCATTCAAAATGTTTATTTGAGCGTCTAAAAAACATATAACATTTCACAGTCACAACTTTTGAAATTAAAGTACATTGATTTTATTAAACATTTGAGTACTCATGCACGGAAACTGTTAAATAGTTCACTTTTTTATCGTTTAAAAAATGATGCATTGCAGTCAGTGCACGCCAAAGTCGTTGTAGCCATGTAAAACAACAGAGCACTGCAAAGTATACAAAACACAAGTGCGTAATTAATCAAAATGGATGCCGCCTCACTCACAGAGATCAAGTTAATGCACGTAAGTCGCATTATAGGGTATTTTGCGAACTCATTTCAAAATGCCCGATTCGGCGCCTGTTGTTGCCTCGTCCATCATTTCTACGCCAAGGTTAACTTTTTCTTCGCGCAAATAAGCTCTTAAGACGCTTTTAAGCATATTTTGTCTAATAAACTACTTGGATATTCCGAACGGCTAAGCTACTATAAGCACTCAAAGTTGTTTTGAAAAAATGCTTTCTAGGCAAAAATTTACATTGCAGAAGCATAGAAACACTCCAGCTTCATGTAAATAGCTTATTATTTATAAAAGAAATGAATATATTTGTTCAGAAAGAAAAATTAACACAGATATAAAGTAGTTGTGATACAGAATGCCACATACTTCCCCGTATTAGTTTTCTGTTTTCCTTTTGTCTTGGCTAGCCACACTACATTAATTAACATTTTCTTAATTTCTCGGTTTCCTAATACTATAAAGGAAATATTATTTTAAGAATGTTAAATAACATTAAAACCTCGTCCGAAGTAGCCCTTTACTTTGGAAAAACGGGGGATTTTAAGAAAATGGCGCTTAAGCGCTACAGTAAATTAGAAATTTAAAGCTCTTTTTCACAAACAATTTTTGAGTTAACGAAAACTTAATTTGACGTCATTTAAAGCACTTTAACTCACAAATACATTAGTGTTTACAAATTGTTGGAAATGTGCTTATTACCGGCAGACTTTCTTCTTGGTCCGGGCTAGGTGCGGACCCGTGGTGATTGGACTAATTTTTATCCCTATAATATAATTGAACACACCAGGCAGTGTAATATTATCCCATTAATTGTCTCTATACTGCATGTCCATTTCAAAATCCCGCGTACCTTTGTCATCACTACCAATCAGTGACATAGCTCAAGGTTCCCTTTGCGTGGGAAAGGGGGGGGGGGTGTCGTAATAATTTCCCCCTGATTGATAGGCAACCTCTCACGCTTTGGTGTCTGGCAGGCCATGTTCAGACGGTGTCAAAGAGATTTAGAATACCGGACGTATTCGTATACATTATTTAGAATTATAATGCAATGTTTAAATTGTAAATAGCACTTTTGAATTTAATAATTCATATTCACATGATTTTATTGGTTAGGTTATTACAATATCGCCATTGCAAATACGGAAGCTGCTAACTGTACATACGGAATCTTAATGTATTTGTATAATATTTTTTTCTACTCCCATTGCATAATTCTGTCATTTATTGGCTGCTATCCGTTGCATAATAACATATGATACAGGTCCTTGACCAATCGCAGACAAGCTTACAAACCAAGTATTGACACTTCATTAATCGTTGAGAAACGTTATGATAAATGTTTCGTTTGTGTACATTACAATTGCATCTATTATTATATTGTGCTTCTCAGTTTTAATTTCTTTTATTATTAGTAATGTTGTACGTGAAATATTATTTAAAACCGACTGGATCGTAATTTCACTTTGAATCTATTTAACTAGGCAGTGGTAGTTATTTGAGAGAACATTTGACTGACATTAAGATCTGAACTCAAAGCATATTGTGTTATATGTCGCTATTACTACCCCAATTTTCTAACCAATGCAAAAACCATTTTTTTATACAATACTTACTCTTGAAGTTATTTTACATGGCTGAAAATCTTTTCGATATATTCCTTGCAACCATTTTTGACTCCATTCCTCTTCACGTGGAAACTTAAGAACATTCACATTTAGCCAATTGGGATAATTCCTTCTGCACTGTTGTACGCAACAACGATCTGGCTCGTTGTACCAGTTACAAATACTTAAAATAATATGTTACGTACGTCGCACGCTATTTAACATCGCTGAAAATGCAGTTACTCGTAATACACATCACTACCAGTAAAATCTCAACATGAAATTACTACTTTCTCCGCAAACATGACTCTCATTATGTGAGCCATTGAGATATGAATACATGTATTCATAGTCCCGTGATGCCAGCCAATATATCTTAAGAACTTTAGGTGGTGTTGGTTGGGGTAGGGAGATGTCCAGTAGGTGGCCATTTCTGAATATTAAATGTCGATCGCCACGTTACGACTCAATGTAGAAGTTTAACTTACAAAAAGTCACTATAAATCGTAGAAAAAGAAACTCTATGTAATGGGTATTAATACACGAGTGTGATATTACGATACGAGCGATGAACGAGCGAGCAAAACTATTGTCAACTGACATAATTCTAATGTCCTTGCACAACACCGTACACCTTACATTAGAAGAAATAGAATATTGAATTATTCTTTAAAGGTAGAATTAACTCCTATTTTAACCTTGAAGCTAGTAAGGATGTACAAAAAATGCACTTCTTATTCCTTCAAATATTGACAAAAAAGTAATAAATTCAATATTGAAAAAGAAAGGTTTGTCTTTTGTTAGCATCATTTCGAAATTGTTTGGTTCTGGAGTGTGAAAACAAATAACCTCTCTTTCTTCAGCTTCGGATTTACCTATTTGAAAGACACATTCTAAAATGCTTTTCAGTATTCAAAATGAAAATAATTTCTATAAAAACAAGAGAGAATTCAAAGAATGGAACCTGACAATGCTGCCAGTACAAAAAAGTACATTCACAATCAAAATTGACCACCAAAAAGGCAACAACGGCGTGGCTGAATCTTTGTTTCTACAGTGATATTCCCAACGGTTCCGAATATATGAATTTTTGTAGCTCTTGCTTTTGTTGCTTTTGTTGCTCTTCGCACTGCTCAGATTCGTGCTTCTGATACATAAAAGTTATTGCATTTGTTTGTATTTGGCATGAATACTTTGGAGGAGCCAAGAATGAAAAATAGCGCAAGTTGCGATTAAAAACCCAAAAATGTGTTTTAATATTCTGTTAAATGCAATTTCCAATTCATCTGACTTCATTGTTTCTATGCGTTGCCGTGGGATAGGGCGGTGCTGAGCAAGTCGGAACTGAGCGGGCAGCTGGGGGAACGGGAGGGGTGGAGGGAGCACAAAAAGCGAAAAAAGCGAGACGAGCGGAAGAACCGAAAGGAGAGGGGGAGGAGCGAAAGAGCAGGCCGAGATAAAGGAATGGGCGTGGCGAACTGAAGGAAGAAGCAAGAGTGCACGATGAGTGGGAGGAACAGTTAGAACGGAAGGGGCTGGAGATGTTGGCAGGAAGGCCATGGTAGCCCGTCAGGGAGTGTTGGGACGATGGACGTAACGTAATGACCGGGAAGAAGACATGAAGCAGAATAGGCTGGATGTGGGACTGCGATAGTGCGGGAGGAAAGGACTTAGCAAGAGGATGGATGGGAGGGACTAGAGGTGATTGCAGGTCGCCCTTGGCATGCCAGATAGGGCGAGTGTGAAATGCAGACGAAGCGAGGTAAGCGGGAGGAAGAGATAGAGTAGAAGGGGCTGGGCGAGGGAAGTGTTGGCAGGACGGCCATGGCATGCCGGATGAGGCGATCGGGGGAGAAAGGCGAAGTGTGATGACCGGGATGAAGTTATCAATATGAGTAGGTAGGAAGCGTGGAACAGGAGGTGTAGGCAGGACGGCCATGGTAGCCTAATGGGGCGTGCGGGGGGAAGGAGGCGGACGTAGCGTTAGGAACATATAGAGCGGAATAGGCTGGATGGGAGGGGCGGAAATTGTAGACAGAACGGTCGCGGGAGGAGAATTGTGCGAGCGGTGGTAACGGACGAAGCATGATGAGCAGAAGGGACTGGGTGGGTGGAACGAGTGTTATAGGCAGGATGGCGATGGTAGGCCGGATAGGGGGTACGTGGCAAAAGAATAAAGCGTGCAGGGAGGGTGAGTCGGCTTAACAGATGATTGCCAGAAATAAATATCCGGGCAATGCCGGTTAATCAACTAGTTTTGAATAAAACACAAATGTTGAGTGAAGATTGGAGATCTGATTGTTGGGTTTCACGTTGGATAAATTAGAAATGGTTATATGAAGAAATTTTAAACACTATAATGATTTTTTTACATATTTTATATTTTTTCCTACTTTGTTTTGTGCAAAAAAGAAATACATATTGTGTATGTTCTATACATTTTTCCTCTTTGTAAAATCAAATTATGTTTCTTGTAACTTTCCGAGGTAAAAAAGGAAACATTAATATTAAGATTTAGAATAATGAATTTCTTTATAACATAAGTGTATATGATTCTTGTGTTTCAGATCCGTCGGATTTGCTTTATTCTAATAGTACCTGTAATTGGTGCTATCATTTGGTTGCTTTACATTTTAACGAACCCAACAGTTTCCCAGGTATGTAATGTTTTGAATAGCAGTAAAAAAAATATTACGTACGTGAAACTATAGAGTGCAACAATAACGTGAATGTCTTACAAAACAAGATAGAAATTACTCATGTTTGTCCAATAAAAATATTTTTCCATATGATGTCGGAACTGTGATGCGAAGTAATGAAATTTTCTTACTCTGCGACGAATACAAATTGTATAAATTAACGTAATTAGACCATGATCAAAATTATTTTAGTGAGGAAGAATTGCAAGTGTCTCTTCCAATGTTTTATCATCAAATACTGCAATTATATGGTCAAATTGACAAGGAATTTTATTTGGAATATCCAATATACGAGTTATATTTAATAAGACTGTTACACGAATGAAATTACCTCCCAAAAACTTTGATAACGTACCAACTAATAATTATATTGTATTTTCTCACTTCAACTGCACACAATAGCGCTTCCTATGATTGAAGTATCGCATCTTCGGATTTTCCAGCAGGGAGAAGGTGGTAAAAAAGAGCGTAAAGGAAAAGCTAAAATTTGAGGGGAATACTACAGTCTTCATTGGTGCATACTAGATGTACCAAATTAGATAAGATGTACAAAGCTGTTGGTTATAATTTCAAGAGTGGAATAGTCTTAATAAGTCAATCAAATAATCTTCAATTATGTACGATCATTCTATGAATTATTGAACTTGATAATAGGTAACAATTCTCAAATATAAACTCAGGCGCGATAAATATTGCTTGTTGGTGTCCTGAAATTTGTTTTCTTGATTATCGTTGTTTCAAAATGGAGCTTGATTTTATATGCTTTAAATATAATATTTTAACACGACAGAAAAATAATTGTGTTATAAGATAGTCAATAAATACGAACTGTGACATAAATAATTCGCTTGAAACTTGGCAAAACAATCGTATTTTTGTAACGTCAACAATTACATTATTTATTCATACAAAATACACATGATAAATATTTCTAGTTCAAAGTACACGTGTGTAATTAGTTCAAAAATAGTCAAGTACATTAACGTGTGTGATCTTTTAGATCATATTTTTGCTACTTACCTAACAACACGTGTTCGACATTATGTCGAAGTTGTAGTAGTGCTACAAATGGAACCTTTACATCTCTTCTCGCCCAGACTTTTTAATTAAATGGGTAAGCCGATGAATATAAGACCTCTCTGTTCTTTAGTAAATGTGATGGGACTTATCCTTTTGGTAGCACAGAATACTTTTTTCAGATGCATCTGCACAGTATCATTTTACTATGAAACTTGAAGTAAGCGATTGGATTCTGTGTTGAGTAAAGTTGCCATGTATTGAGAATGGTACATATCAGATCCATGTGAAAAATGTATTTAAAAAAAAAACATCCACGTAAAATTTGTATAGTTTTTTTTCTTGTTAGACTCTTCAACAAGTAAGCTGACACTATTACCCGCACGTAATTCAAAGAACTGCACCCATAGCTTCAATAGAAGGAATTTGGAATAATAAATTTCCATGTGCAGTATACAACATCCCCTATATAATTTCTGATAAGATTTTAAATGTTGAGGTAAATCATTTGGTATGCACTGGAAGTAATCTTGACGTTGATATAAACGTTCAGAATTAAATGAACACACATTCCTCATTTCGGAAATTATCTCTTCTTTTTGGCAGGACATACCTCTCCATTTGCACGTGGTTCAGTGGTACGTGCTTTAGTAAGTCGGAACTCTGCTATTATTTTCATCAGATACAATATTAGAATTTACAGGAGCAATGAAAATGACTTCTACGTGCACATACTCAAATAATATATGAAAACAGAATTTTCTTGAACAGTGCAAATCTTTCTCTCTCACTATTGTTAATTTTTTCTCGGTTGACACTTATGTAAGCTCTCGATTTTACCAACACCTTTATAAAATCTTAAGGTAGCAAGCCCCCAATTGTTCCCAAATTAATGCTTCAAGATATCACCTTACCTTATCATTCAATCACGCCTTCCTGGATTGTGCCTGTGCCACCTTCCATTGGAATCCCGTTTAGTTGTGCTGTAGGTTCACAGCTGTGAATCCATTCTTACATGTCTGCATCATTTCCACTTGAACCGCCACACTTAAGGGGCTACACCTGTAATGCCTGTTCTTTGAGTACTTCTATGCAATGAATTTCTAATTGTGTTTTGTGTCTAATTGTGACGTCTCTTGGGTTTGTTTCCATTGATGACCACGTTTGTGCTTCACATCCCTGTGCTTTTGACCCTTTGGAATGACAAGGTTCTAACAGTCAACTAATTATTCTGTCAAACCTCCATGTCCAATAGCGTTTTTACAGCGCCAATTTGTTCATAAAATGCAGCACGAGTACCTTTCACTTGCAGACGCAATCAGATATAACATGGTCACAGTAACAACTTATGTTCTTCGATTTTGTTAATCGGAACCTTCTCATTTAAAGGATCCATAATAAACTACTGATAAATAGCATGTCTCTATTACTGTATTTTTATTGCGTTTGCTTATTTTTTGTCGAACAAAATGAATGCAAGTTACCAAAACCATTCTAAATGTTCTTTCTTATGTCTCTACACCTAGATTGGTTTGAGTAAACACGATGTGTCACCCACACACACGCACATCATGTATTAGTTGCCTGTACAGCATAAATGCTGCTGAAAAACAAACAAACAAAATTGTTTCGCAAAAAGTATACAGACTGCTCAAGAGAAAAATATAAATAATAATAAATAATGAAGTATATAACGACGGACACCCTTGTCCTTGGAGTCTTACTACATAAGGATGGATGTGTCATATGAAGTGACACACAGTGAGAATGCGGTCGGTCAGTGCGAGAATTGGGGGAATAATACGATACAATATTTGCATTTATGAGTAAAATCGAAAGAGTTTCATCGGTTTTTGTACGAAATTTACCCGAGTTTCTCGATATCTGACGATAACAAACTGCTCTCAAAAGGCTTGGGGCGTCATATATTTCAGTTTGTACCTAGATCGTAGTAATTTCTGCGTACATTAGAAATCAGTAATATATAAATTCATCGTTCACCAGCAAAAATAAACACACCACCTTCTTAATTATATCAATAATTGTAATATGTTTTAACAAACATACGTCGTTTTGCTCAGATATGCTTCTAAGAAACGTAGATAAAAGATTCTTTTTAAACTAGTTTTCACTAAATGCTCTCTTCAGCATTTCTCAGACGTTAGATTAATTTTAGCACTCTGGGTACGTATTGTCCAAGGGTGTAGAAATCTCCAATGGACTTACGCAGGATGTGAAAGTGCAAAGAATTTCCACATGAAAGCGTTTGAATAGCAATCGATCAATTTATTAATTTTATTTTAAAACTATTTATAGGACTTGGACTATTCAAATGCAACGATTGTCTCTGGAACCAATCATAACATGGTAAGATAAATGTATCCTATAAGATATATTCCCATATCACCAGGGGCGCTTTGGTGTGCACTCTAGTAATATAATCTAGTATTTTAACAACATGGAGATAAACATTGCACTACAATAGAAGCTACTTTCATGATGATTGAAAAAACCCTCAGTTTTACTTTTCGATATACTTAAAAAAGATCCCCGCCTCCTATCAAATTACAAGTCTATTTGTCCACTAGCCTTTGTCAAAACCTTTCGAAATTCTTATACTCAAACGACTAATAAAATATCTCAAAGGTAACAAAATTTGATTCGATTTATTAGTCGCGAAAAAACCGTATCTATATTATGAATTGCAATGCATTAATTAATTAATTTACTTTTTAAATTCGTTTTAGGACTTGGGGAACTCAAATGCAACGATACTCTCCAAAAGCAACGAAACTATGGTAAGATATATTTATTCTATGAGATAGATCCTCGTATGATCAGCGGTTGGCGCTTTGGGGCGCTCTAGTAATATAATTTACCATTGTAACAATAAGGTCTCTCCAATGTAACAAAAGTTACTCTCGAATGTTCCTTCCCGATTATTGAAAAAAGTGGTGCTTCTACAGCATATAATTCCTCACATTATTTCTAACTGCTCCGCTAAATTATACTATATTAGCTGAAGAACCCCGCGTTGCTGAGGTATTTATCATAACATCTTTTATTAAACAGAAATGTTTCCATTATGGCATTATGGAATAATGGAATAATTCCATTATTCTATTATGGCAGAGCCAACTTCTATCCATTCTATTGAATCTCTGCTCCACCCTTCCCCGCGTCTCTCTGCCTTGCTCCAATCTGGAAATACGCAGCCTTCCGTGCTCACTAAAACTCGTGCTCACTAAAACTCGTTCTCACTAAAAAATATTTACATTTTGTTCGGTTTAGGGATCCCGTCCTCAACATTCTTTCACTTTATAACTGAAAATCATAAACAAATCTAAACAAAAAAATAAAATGTATGTTCTCACGTATATTCTTTTTGCAGAACTTTATTATATCAATACTTTCAATCAATTCCCACATTATAAAACTTACTCTTTTTATATTTTTTCTTCTCACAAGTTTGAAATTCATCAATTTGCGTCAATAGACGTTTAAAAATAATTTAAGTAATTTTAATTGAATTCAAGTACTATTTTAGAATCCTTAATAAATAGAGACTGACGGAAAGGTGCTTCGACAGTTATAATATCTCAAGAAATTCGAGATCACAGTGAATCAACAAAACTTGTGGGCTTGACAAAACATTTTGTGCTATCCATAATAACAAAATCACCATTGACACACATTTAATTCCTCCAAATACCCATTTACCAATACTCTCTTATTTTAATTATATTGCCGTTTTACTATAAATTAAATTCTTGTCGATCTTTCATCACTTTAATCATTCCTTCTTCACCCAAAGGTACGTTTTCACTCTCCCCAATATTAAAATATTTCTCTGCGGAAAAGCATCCATCCATCCATCGGTTTCAGCATAACACGTAAATCATTCTTATGTTTTCGCTCTCACTGTCACTCATCCCACTTGTAAATACATAATAGACATTTTTGCAAGACGGGGATTTGAAAGACGTAACACGACAATTCTGGGGAGAATTTGTACTGCTCATGCATCAGTCAATCGAAATCAAAATCGTTATCAAATGACTGGATTTCGATTGACGGGTCCCGTCATTCTGCCTGTTTTGTCATCTACGACAAACTTACACTTTACGTACTTTTCGTCGCCACCACTAAACGCGATATCAACACTAACCCGCAATGAGCATGGAAGAAATGAGAAATAATATGGCAAGAACTTAATGGTTAATATTTCTCAAATTAATTGAAATATGTCAGGAATAAGCTAATATACTTGTTTAGGATTTGAGGTTATGTATATGAGGTTATATTGATTGTCACGAAACATCAATTGGCATTAAAATTGTCATACATTTCCCATTCCTAATATACACAAAATAAATATGTATTAGTAAAATTGCGGGGTTACATTAAGACTACCTAGGAATCTAAAGTTATATTTAGAGATAAACACATTACATATCATGATAAAATCAGATTTCATGTATTATACGTATTACTACCTTGTTATGTTTATAAAAGCAAACATAAAAGACTCAGAGATACACAGATGTTCAATAAAAGCATTTAGATCCTGTTAGAGGTATATTCAGTTCCAGTTAGTTCCTAGTTTTAACGTATACCTCCGATTGTACGACTTGCAAGAACTCATTTTTCTGAAGATACGTTATTTCCTATTGAAGATGATGTTAACGTACTACGACAATGGGTTTCCCATCTTGGAAAAAGTCTCTAATAATTATGTTTAATAATTTACTACAACTAAACAGCTGTGCATTCGTACCTTTTTACAACAATATTACTCACATCCTTCAGAAAATTATCACTTCCAAACATTTTGATTCTGGTACACTTAATGCACTGTCGCCTACACGCAATTAAAATCATTATCCAAGTTACTTTTATAAATAAAGTGTAGAAAAACTCAGAACTATTGACATTGATGCACTTTTGAGTCTGTGATGTAAAGCTAGCCGAAAAATGTCCGGAAAAGTAATTATTTTGTAAATATATTAAGGTTTATTGTTATAAATCATATCCTATAGTACTTCAGATCTTTAACGGAGCTATCTCAAAAGTTTCATCTATATTGTTTCAGTTCATTCAGAGATTATCGCGCTGTAAGTCAACGCACTTCTTTCTTTATATTTTTGTATAGATTACAAGAAACTGCAAAAGTGCTTTCATCCAGCAATATTTTTTCCGTATCGAGATTCGAACTCATGTCTTCCGAGTTAACTAGCCGTGTGTCTAAACTCTACGCCATGGCAACGACATTTCTAGTTCGGTCTAGACACAATCCATGTTTTGTGGGTCCTTGATACCGAAAAATCAATTGTCGACAAATCGTCCGTTCTTATGCGAACACTATTATCGTCTAAACCACACGTAGTATTTTTTCCAAATTGAAAAAACCCCTGTCCATCTGGCTGAGTCCAAACTTTGTAATTTTGAAAAACATCCTTTAAAAGTTTTTTTTACATGAATCTCCTAGGACATTTTTAAAATGTTCGTGAAAACTGTTCCAATTTCTTCTTTAAATTTCTTGTAAGAATAGAGTAAAATACACCTGCAAATGTGGCATAGGTTCGATTTTCACTGTTACCTTTGAATTTTCTAAAATTTTAAAAGTTTGCATTTTGTCCGTCGTCTCCCTAAAACTACAGAATTTAAGATAGAGTTGTTTCCTTCAAACAAAACTTGTCGTCCATAGTTAGTTCTTTTCTAAAGGTCATGTACATTTTTTAAAACTTTTAATCATTTTCGCGGAAAATGCGGAAAATTTGTGCAATTTTAAAAGATTACAAAAACAAGATTTTCTCCAAAACAAAAATTTTTAAATGTTTATTCGGGATAGTTCTAAATGTACTCTATTAGATGACGTGAACGCCATATTGCTCTATCCATTTGTTTTTCCAAAAATTACAAACATGTAATTTTTGAGAAATATCTTTCACCCCGTTAAAATGCACATTTCTACCTGTTTGTTTACATTATTTCATTTGTGAGTGGAAGTGATTTAAAGGATTTTCAATGAAGCTTTTCGAATACTCAGTTTCTGTGAAAAAGATATTCAAATTTCGCATTTACACTTGAGTTTAAACGAACTTTTCCTTCAAATCCTTTTTATATTTTGCAACAAATTTTTTTCTTATAGATTGAGGTTTTACTCTTTTATAAATGATGTTTTCAGTGAATATGAGTTCAAAATTGCGCATTGTCAGAAATCAAAAGAACTATATATTCTCAAAAATGGCTCCATTGTTTCTTAAAATGTTTTATTAAGGACAGTTCAAAATTCACTGCATTACATGACATATATACCATAGTTCTGATTCATTCTTTTGTTTTTTCAAAAACTACATGTATACATTTGTTTATATATCACTCACGGCGTTAATATTTACATTCCCGGCATTGTGTATCCAGGTATTGCATTTGTAAAAACAAATGCTTAAATTCTTATAGATTTTGTATAAAGTTTCTCGAAAATGAGCTCAATATTTAGCTTTGACAGAAACATTCAAACGACATTTTCTCAAGAACAGTTGCAAATTTTTCAATGGAATTTTGTACACACGAATATGTTTTACTCTTTTGTAATATTCTTAAAGACATATTTCAATGTTATTATTAGGGGTCGGAAAATCGAAAAAATGTTTGCCCCTGGTACGTAGCAGTGACGAGAGAGGCAATACTGAAATTCTAGCCCAGAGTATAGAGTATAAAAGAGATATATAATATACAATTTCTAACGCTACTAATTTTCTCAATGAAAACTTGTCTTAACAATTAGGACTACATATTTAAATTATTGAAGAATGGATAAATGATTTAAATGATTTGAGTGTTTTCGTTTAATTCTGAGTAAAATAAGGAATATTTTTAAAAGATATTTAACCAAATATTGTCAAGAACTTTACTTTCTCGCATACTACTTACGTATGATATTCAAGCGAGCTCCAAAATATAGTACGCGGAGAGTGGGGAAAACCGAAAAAGTAGCCCCGATTGCAAAGAAGGGAGAACTAACAGTATGAGAAATTATGCTCTGTTTTGTATCATCACTTGTTTTTATTCTCATTAAAGCATAAGCTGAAGGTTAGATTCATATTTTTGTATTCCACACTACGCATAAATATTATTTCGCATCTCTTTTCCCAACATTCACCCTAATAAAATAAAAAAGATAAATATGGTACGAAGAGAATGGTATCCATCAGAAAAATATTATAATACGTTAAATATGAAATTGGAATATCCAAGTGAGAAACCCAGTAAAAGGCAACCGATTTTGAGAAATTAATAAAAAGAGGGAATGAAACTAAATTACATGTTTATGTTTCAGACTATGGAAGACTCCTGCCGAACGAATTTCTCTGAAGCATTAATGGAGTTCGAGAATATGGAACCTAATGTGAAGGAAATTAACCTGCATGATAAAAATATATCATGCGTGCCAACTGATGCATTTGAGAGTAAAAATGATCTCATTATACTGGTTCTTCGAGGGAACCCCTTGAATATTGCGCTTGATCGTCCATGGTTACGTCATACGAAACTTAAAGTATTGGACATTTCTGATTGTGGCTTGGGTCCACTGTCTTCGATTGTCTTTGAAAATCTGCCTAGTCTGAAAAAAGTGATGATGGCAGGAAACGCTGGGTGTTTTGAGACCCAGAAACAAAGTATTAATATCGAAATAGATTGTGGTGCTGTTTCCAAATAGGGTATTTGAAAATGCATTGTTCGGAAATTGAAATATTTCCCACCGAAATCTGAATCCGGAATTTTCCGATTTCCTGACAGATGATTTTTTATCGACCGCGTTATGAATTGAAATAATGATGTTTTACAATATAATGATTTTATGTCATACAATTGACATATAATCGAGATATCACAGATGTGATACATACCGGGAGAGGTGGTTCAGGTCCATTTGGACGAGGGTGGACTTGGGCCATTGCACTGCCTCAGACCGGGAGGTCCTAGATTCGAGTCCCGACCGTGGCAGGATTTTCGACACTGGTTAGATAGCTAGGTCGAGTTCAGTCAATGTTTGGAAGAGAATTCTAGCGGCCGGCTGCTCCGATCGGTAGTTTTCCGTGGTTTCTCCGATCAACATTAGGCGAATGCCGGAGCAGTACCCTAACAAATGGGCCACGGACCGCGCGCGATCCCTCCTTCCTCTTCCTTAATCTATCCTCCCCTTTTATTTACATGCACTACACTACCACATATGCCGGAAATCGGGTCGGGAGTTTAGAGCTAGTCTCAGCTGGAACAGAGGTGGGAGATTTTTTTGTTAGGGAAAATTCCGCTAGCCGGCTGTAACATCTTCAAATATAATTGTGTAATGGTGGAAAGTATATTTCGTCGCTGAAAAGATTTTAAGAATCTTCATTCTGAATTTTGTTCTTCAAGTATTGTATCTCTTTGACGATAACTTAATAAATAAAAAAAAAAGATTATGGTTTCACATAAAACTCAAGAGAAAGAAATTAATATGGATATTAAATATGAAAATTAACTTCTACTACGTAGCTAAGGTGGATTCACAGGATAACATGTTTGAGTTAGAAGTGAAACACGTTGGAAGAAAAGAAGGAAAGTTTGACTTTATTCTACTTAACAACCATGATATGATGATACGATCATGAAAGAAAGGACATTCATGCAAAATGTCAGTCTTTATTTAAATAATGTTCAGACAGGAGCATGAGTTTCATTTTCAAGAGAATTTGTCAAATTTCTGTATACAATAAGATGACTATTTTACTCATTTCAACTAGATTTTGTACGAGTATCAAAATATTGTTTTCATTGTAGTGAGGGGAAAATAGGGAAAAATATAACCTTTTTTTGTATCAAAGAAAAATATATGATATTGATCGTATTTTTTCTTCTGAAATCAAATATGATATCAGTTTTTCTCCATCACGTAAGGTCTCATCAGGTAAGGAGAGATAGGCATTTTATAATATCAAACATTTTAATACTTTCTGCATTCTTAACTACACAATATTTAAACATTCTGACTCACCTAGACGATTTTATGCTAAATTCGCCTATGAATTCTCCCTCTTAATGGTTCAACAATAATCACTTAGAATAGTAGGATTCCATTTGATTTGATGTATGTATAATTCTTCTGAAATGTATAATTTGGCTGAAATTTTCTGATGAAAATGTCATCATTCACTGCGCCAAGATTTCCAGGGAAGAAATATAGGTGCTCGTGCAGAAATTATTCTTTTACGGCCATATTACAACCCATATTTCTATAAGATATTACGGATACGGGCGTTGACAATATTTCGGTGATTTTCTTTCTTTCAATTTCCCATAAAGCTTGAACGTTTTTTAATGCTTGCCAAGCTGTTTTTTCCAATGGATACAAAGTTCCTCAAACTTTTCATCATGCATTAATGATCGTATATGTGAACCCGAATAATACGGAACGAATAATATTTCTTTAATCACTTACTTAAAGCGTCTGTTTTAAGTACACGAAACCAGGAGTATTATCCATCCAAAATAAAGTTCATAACACTTTTTCACTAATGGATCGAGTTTTGGCCATTTGAACTTGAGCGTCACTTCATATATATATATATATATATATATATAT